TTCTAAGGGATTCCTGCCCACAGTAGTAGATATAATGGTCATCTGAGTTAAATTCACCCATTCCAGTCTATTTTAGTTCGCTGATTCCTAGAATGTTGACATTCACTCTTGACATCTCATATTTGACCACTTCCAATTTGCCTTGATTCATGGACCTAACATTCCAGGTTCCTATGCAATATTGCTCTTTACAGCATCAGACCTTGCTTCTATCACCAGTCACATCCACACTGGTATTGTTTTCGCTGTGGCTCGCAGAAGTGCGGCGGCTGCAACAGACTCTGTAGAAGCGCGGCCGAGAGGAGCTACCCCTCTCCCAAGGTCAGGGGTGGCGACTGAGAGCGCCAGGCTGCCACGGCGCAGGAGTGGCCAAGAGGAGCTACCCCACGTCGAGGTCAGGGGCAGTGACCTAGAGGAGCTACCCCATGCCCGAGGTCAGGGGTGGCGGCCGAGAGGAGCAACCCCATGTCCAAGGAGTGGTGGCTGCATGGGAGCAGGAGGGCCGAGAGGAGCTACTCCACGTTCAAGGTCAGGAGGGGTGGCCGTGAAGAGATACCCCACGTCCAAGGTAAGAGAAACCCAAATAAGATGGTAGGTGTTGCAAGAGGGCATCAGAGGGCAGACATACGGAAACCATAATCACAGAAAACTAGCCAATCTGATCACATGGACCACAGCCTTGTCTAACTCAATGAAACTAAGCCATGCCGTGTGGGGCCACCCAAGATGGACGGGTCATGGTGGAGAGGTCTGACAGAGTGTGTCCACTGGCGAAGGGAATGGCGAACCACTTCAGTATTCTCGTTTTGAGAACCCCATGAACAGTATGAAAAGGCAAAATGATAGGACACTGAAAGAGGAACTCCCCAGGTCAGTAGGTGCCCAATATGTTACTGGAGATCAGTGGAGAAATAACTCCAGATGAGAATACACACTTGTAATTCCACTTATATGAAAATTCAGCCATAGGGTGAGGAATCAGGAGAGTGGCTGGCTCAGCAGGAGGAAGTGGGGCTCCTAGGGTGGCACCCTTGTAACATCTCCTTGGGCTGCGTTACTGGGAAGTCACTAGACAGAGCACACAACACTAGACAAGGACTCTCACCGGTGGTATCCGTGGAGACCAGGACACTGGGTTGAGCACAAGCACAGGACAAGGACGTCTTCGAAGGATCTAACACATCTAGTTGTTCCTCCAGTGTTTTAAATTTATGTTTTAGATTTTGCATTTCTGCTTCAAGGGCCAGAACGTAACCTTCCAAAAAACACAGTAAACACATAGGCGCAGGCGTATACACTCTCTTTATCTAGCACCCGCGCCCTCCCCTGTCCAACTCTCATGACTGTCCCATGCTGTCTGTGTATCATCCTCCCCTCCAGAGATGAGCTTGCCACGCTCTCCGAGTGGGCCCCATGATCAGGAGTCCTCAGTCCTGTGATCCTTGATGCAGACTTGACAATCCCATCCCGAGCGCAGCCATCAGAGGTGCTGCCCCTTCACTCACCATCCTTTGAGTTCCTGCCCTGAACAGTAGGAGGCGGAGCCACCTCTGGGGCTCAAGAAGCTCCCCGGAGGAAAGGCCTGGTCCCTCAGGCCTGCTTCCTACTCCAGGAGAGCGCAGTGCCAACCAGCCCCTGGTCCAAGCCTGTCTCTGGTTTTTAAATGTGTCACGTGTGTATTCTTCCCTTTTCCCCTCCACGAACCAATACAAAGTTTTTATTGTACATAAAAAATATGACTTAAGATCCTTTCTCTTGGAGGGAAAGCAGCTGTCATACTTTGACTTAATCTATAAAGGGGATGCTCATTTTTAAGACTCCAAGCGAAGCCTATTTACGGACCCAGTAGAGATGACTCCTCATCTTCCCTCTCCCCCTTGCTCACCAGGAACCGCAGAATCAGCTGCTGCCTTTGGGTCAGGCTGGTTTGTGTGTGAGGTCTCCCCTCCTAACTGGGCAGAAGGAAGAATTTGATCACTTAGAGCTTCCATTTCTTTCCTCATTTGTGCAATAACATTTCGCAAACTTGTGTTCTGCTCTTTTAGCCGCTGGATCTCACTAGACAGAAAGCTTTTATTGATTTCTTCTCCTTGATGCCTTAGAGGCCTCTGTCAAATACAGAAAATAAAAGAAAAAGAAAATGGTTAGAGCCAAGAACCAGTGATTCCTTTGTGCGTCTGAGGCTGGCTGTGTCTGTGTCTGCCTGCATCCTCCAGCCCCGCCGTCCCTGCTGCCCCTCATCTGTCCTGGAGGTGGGTGATGTTGACAGAAAATGCTTTTTCTTTTATGTTTCATAAAGACAAGACCAATGTTTTTCAAAGATAATTTTTATTGGGAGATTTGGGGACTCTTCCTTTTTAGTAAAAAACCCATCATTCACCCGTTAGAGTGGCAGTTATTTAAAAAAAAAAAAGAGAGAGAGACTTCCCTGGGGGCCTGGTGGCTAAGATTGTGCTCCCGATGGAGCGGGCCTGGGTTCGATTCCTGGTTGGGGAACTAGATCCCACATGGTGCAACTAAGACCCAGTGCAGCCACATAAATAAATATAAAAAAAGATGGACAATAACAAGTGTTGGTGAGGATGTGGAGAAAATGGAACCCTTGTACACTGTAAATGGTAAAAGTACTCAGTGGTTTGTAAATGTAAGATGTAACACTGTGCAGCTGCTATGGAAAACAGTCTGGCTGTTCCTCAGTAAAGTAAACACAGAGCTATTACATAACCCAGCAATTCCACTCTTGGGTACAGACTTGAGAGAAGTGAAAACACAGATCGACACAGAAACCTGCAGACATGTTTGGAGCAGCATTAATCATAGTAGCCAAAATGGAAACATCCATGTCCACCAACAGATGATAGATAAACAAAAGTTAACATCATGAAATACCACAGCCATAAAAAGGAATGACATTTTAACATATACTACAACATGGATGGAACATGAAAACATCATGCTGAGTGATAGTCAAGGACTTTAAAGCAGTTCACATAAATATACTCCAGGATTTAAAGAAAAATATGAAAAAACAGAAACAGAAGATATCAAAAATAACAAAATAGCATCTACAGAGATGAAAAATACATTGCCTGAAGGAAAAATTCACTGGATAGGATGGGATTAAGAGCAGATAAGCTACTACAGGAGGAAAGGTTAAGTGAACATAAACATAGAGCAGTAGAAAGTATCCAAACTCAAGAACAGAGTGAAAGACAAAAGAACAAGTAACAACAGTCATTCTGCTCTAATGACTGCACAACACTGAGAAGCAGACAAACACTAACCCAGATCAATGAGGGGACAGAAAAGGATTCAGAACGTGTTGGCAAAAAAATTTCAAATTTGATGAAAACCTAAGTCCACAGATCCAAGAAGTTCAACAAACTCAAAGCAAGATAAACACAAAGAAAGTCACACCAAAGAGCACATCATGGTCAAACTGTTTAAAAACAGTGATGAAGGAAATCTCTTAAAAACCACCAGAGGAAAAAAAGGCACATTACATTCCTGCAGAAGGACAAATAAAAGAAATCACCAACTTCTCATAAGAACCAATGAAACCTAGAAGACTTCCCACTAAGATCCCATACCGAGAGGTCCGGCCATGCAGGAGTTGAGCTGGGGTGAACGTTGGGCCAGCTTTATTCCAGAGAGCACTATGGTGAACTAAAACTGTAAAATATCTGCGGTGGTATATATTACTTTTATTTCCAAAGTGAAGCTTTTTCTTCTGTTACTGCTAGTCCCCAGCTTTTCAAGCCACCTCTGGCTCCGCTATGCACCTGCCGGCTTCCTTCCAGCCACTGCTCTGGCCCCACTCCTCCTCCTGTAAACATCTAACCTCCCTCTCTGTGCCCACTGGGGCAACTGCCACCTTCTCTGCAGCAGAGCCTTAGGCTGCTCCCACTCAGGCAGACAGAAGAGTGGTCAGGGCTGTGTAACTGGCCGGCACTGTTCACATTCTCCCTCTGCAACCTGTGGGGAAGGGACCACCCCTCTTAGGGCCTGCACTGTTCACATTCTCCCTCTGCAACCTGTGGGGAAGGGACCACCCCTCTTAGGGCCTCAAATTCCTTGTCCTGAACAACAGGATCCACCTCAAAGTTGCAGTGCAGCCCATTCCCAAGGTGAAACTTCTGTCCCTGCGGCTGTGGCTGTGTTTGGCCTAGCAGCCTGCCTGGCAGTGATGCCTGGGTCTCTGTGGGGTGATCACTCCGGCCTTGCCGAGGCGCCAGCATTGAAACTAGTGCCAAGCAAGGAGGAAGCTGTGGCCACAGCCAAGAGGCTGCCTGTCTAGGCAGTGCAGTCTGGAGGGCTCACCGCTTCCCAGGAAGCACCATGCCTTCCTCCCTGAGCAGCCTCTGTCTCTGACTTCAGTGTATGACAGATCCCCTGCTGCTCCTACTTAGTGTTTGCCAAAGGCCCACCTCTATAGAACTCAGCACCAACTGCTGCCTGCCAGCCGACATCTACTGCTTTACCAGGTGGTCACATCCTTAACCTGGTCACAGTATTAAGGCCCTGAAAGGGGAACGCAGGTGTTTTGCTATTATCTGGAGGATTCAAGACCTTCATTCCTCTGGGTCAACAGAAACTTGCACAGCATCCTTCACCACCCCGGGTCCCTGCTTGATAAGGTGGCCACATCTCTGTGTTAAGACCACCAGGCCAGCTCACTGTTGCTGGTGTCTGAGGTGCTGCTCTGCCACGCCCTCTCATCTTGCTTCCAGGGCCCCCTGTACAGAACAGAGGTGCACATCCCCCCACTCTGCATGGGGCACTTGTTTCTGATCCCCCGGCCATTTCTAAGGTTCCTGATCACTTAACAAGGCAACCAGCCACTGACAGGCCTCCCTGACCAGCTGAGCTGGTGCTTGGAGACAAATGTCTTCTTGTAATTGCCAGCCTGGCAGTAAAATACAAAAAAGAAAAATTTGGGTAGGGAGGTTCATTGATAAAAACAAACAAAAAAAGAGGCATTTGTTTTCTCTCTATGCCCTAGAGAAGGCACCCATGCAAAAACCACCAGCGATGAGCCCCCAGGACCATAGGTGACCCTGGAGACTAGGGTTGGCCCCTCCTTTCCTCCTGGGAACACCAGTGCTCCCAAGCCTGACCACTGGCTGAGTGTGAATATTCCCAGAGGTTTGTTTACAGACACACCTTCCGGAGCTTAACTCCTAGGGCGTCAGGTCTAAGTATGTCCTGCTGGGATGCTCCCATGTGACCTTAATTAATCATCTTAACTAATCACATCCATAAAGACCCTACTTCCAAGGAAGGTTGCAACCTGAGGCACTGGGACTAGAATACACCTTTCGGGGCCACCATTCAATCTGGGGTGGTCCCATAGTCAGTGTCAGGCTCTGGCTGGCACACAGCAGCAAGGGAGTCCGTGCTTTATAAGAGGAACAGCCATCGTCATATATTGAATGGCTCAGTCACCACATGTGAAGAAGCGTATTTTGGGATAAAGCTCTAACCTTTTGGTTCTCTGTGTTACTGTCTGCCATGGTACAATTTCTGAATTTGAGGTTTTTTGATATTTCAGATACTAAAGACACAAAGAAGATTGAGTGCAGATTACCATTAGCTGGTTGAGCCTTGGCCTCACCTTGTGTGAACAGTCATCTTAAAGGAAACATGGGTGAAAAGATCTCCCTTCAGTGCTGATTCTATTTGGCGTGTTTTCCCTCTGGCTGGGGGAACGGGTATCTCCGAGGGGCACGTGAGGAAGAGCTGCAAGGGAGACTGAGAAGGAGGGCGGCCCCTCACCTGTGCCTCCTCCTCAGGGAGCAGCCCATGTGTCCGCAGAGCCTGCAGGGCCTGGTCTCTCTCTCGGGTCACGGCCTTCAGCACCACTTCTCGGTCACATAGCCGCCGCTCCGTCTCCTGGAGCTTGGCAGCAACCTGGGGAAAACGCAGACTCAGTTTATCTTGGGAGGATCAGAAGGGAGCGGTGTCACTTTCAAGGTCCAGACCAGCTCCTTACCCTGCTGGGAAGCAGACAGCAGACATGAGGGTGAGAAACCCCAGGAAAGATGTGGCCGTCAGAGCCAGAGGAGCACAGCAAATGCTGGGGCCACCTATGCAGCCAGCTCCAGACACAGCTGCCTGGCCATTAGAGAAAGGCTGCAGGCAGGGACTCATCACTGCAAGTCCTACTGTTATAAACCAAACTGCTCAGTGAGGCTGAGTGCTTTCAAGTGCAAAGGATAACTTGGTGAGGGCCCAAGCTGACTCCATGCTGCAGTGGACATTCCCAGCTCTTCCTTCTGCAGAAAGAGGTCAGACAGCCCAGGGGAATGCAGACCTGATCTCTGGCCGCTGTCAGACCCTGAATCAAGTCCTCGGCCTGCTGGTACTGCTCCCGCTCAACACCCTCACAGCGGCGCTGCCAGTCCAGCTCTAGCTGCACCTTGTCACGCTCCAGGCTCTGCTCCCTCTCTACCGCTAGAGACAGCTGCTGTTTGTACCTGTGGGGATAAAAAGTGCCAACATTAACATTGTCCTGAGGTTCCTTTGGGCTGTGATGTAGCTGAGATGGGAGGCATCCCTCCTGGGCCCCCTGGTTCAGCCGACACCTTCACACAGGCCCAGGTTCAAAGGGAAGCAGGTGGCTGGGTCCCCCAATCCTGAGAAACTCAGCACTGTAGGAGAGGAGGTCAAACTCAATAAGAGACAAGAAGAAAGCCAAACTCAGACAAACAAGAAAATAGCTGCACTAGAGAAGTGCAGGAGGGTGCCCAGCAGAGGACACAGAGCTTCAGGGTCAACAGTAAGCTGAAAGGTCAAACATAACTCAGCGTCCATCTACTGGGGGTCGGGAGAGATCAGAATGGAGAGAGGAAAGTACCACGCAAGTAGGAGGAACTGGTAGGCTCTGCCAGTCAGCACAGTGTCCTTAGGACTCATCAGAAGATGTCCAGGGCACCCAGTGGAGACCCTGGGGTGACATGCAGCAACAGGGCTAGACTGGCCCTAGTGAAGAGACCTTATGTGCATGTGTGCTCAGTCATGTCTGACTCTTTGTGGCCCCAGGGACAGTAGCCTGCCAGGCTCCTCTGTCCATGGGATTATGGGATTCTCCAGGCAAGAATCCTGGAGTGGGCTGCCATATCCTCCTCCAAGGATCTGACTGGGGGGACTGAACCCATGTCTCCTGCATTGGCAGGTGGATTCTTTACCACTGAGTCACAAAGAGACCCTAGAGCTACCATAACAAAGACTTAAAGCAACCCTTCAATGATCAAGCCACTCTGCTGCCGCTGCTGCTGTTGTATCAGTCACGTCCGACTCTGTGTGACCCCATAGACAGCAGCCCACCAGGCTCCCCCGTCCCTGGGATTCTCCAGGCAAGAACACTGGAGTGGGTTGCCATTTCCTTCTCCAATGCAGGAAAGTGAAAAGTGAAAGTGAAGACCCTCAGTCGTGTCCGACTCTTAGCGACCCCATGGACTGCAGCCCACCAGGCTCCTCTGCCCATGGGATTTTCCAGGCAGGAGGACCGGAGTGGGGTGCCAGTGCCTTCTCCGAGCAGCTCTGCAGGCCTAACTAATTAGCCAACTAACTAACTACAGCTGAGCAGCAGGGGCCTGTGAAAGGAAGATGACCAACCTAGAGGTCTGCTGACACAGTGGCCACATATCTGACAGCCATGGACAGCTGTGATATGTGCAAGGAAGCAGGATACTGGCCTCTGTGCCACAGAAGCAGACTCTCAACAGAGGTGGCAGGAAAATACGTAAAGCAGCTCCTGTAAATATGTTCAGAGATTAAAAGCAATCACAAACACAGTGAGGAGAGAAATGAAAAGTAAAATGTGTGAAATAAAAACCTCACCAGCCTTGGGACTTCCCTAGTGGTTCATGTGGCTTAGACTCCACACTCCCAGTGCAGGGGGGGTGGGTTTGATTCCTGCTCAGGGAACTAGATCCCATATGCCAGAACTAAAGATCCTGCATGCTGCATCTAAGACCCGATGTAGCCAAATAAATAAATAAAAATACCAACCCCCCTCAAAAAAAAACCCTCACAGTCTTTCCAGCAGATGAGACCTTGTGGGGAAAGTCCTAGAAGCTAGCAAAAGAACATCAAATTAAAGCAAAGCAAACAGAAGAAAGGCAATAATAATAATAACAATAGATACTGAAATTGAAAACAGAAAAGCCACTGAAAAAAGTCAAAGAAACCAAATGCTGGCTCTTTGGAAAGATCTCTAAAATGGATAAATCTCTAGCTAGACTGACGAGAAGAAAAGAGAAAATACGTATCATCAATATCAAGAAGGGGAGAGGACATTGTTACAGACTTTACACATATTAGAGAGACAGTAAAGAAATACTATAAACAATTTCATGTCAGTAAAGTCAACAATTAGATGAAATGAACAAACTCATTGAAAGACACAAATTACCAAGCGACACATGCACAAAATATAAAATAGAAAATATTAAATAAATATCCAAAGAAACCAGACACAAAAGAGTATAAACTGTAGGATTCTATGCAGATGAAATTCTGGAACAGGAGAAACCCATAGCAGCAGAGAGCAGTCCACAGGGTGCCAGGGAGTGAGGGGGCTTTGGGTGATGGAAGGGTTTTATATCCTGATGGCATTGGTGGTTGTACCACATACTTAAGTATATATTTGTCAAGATTCATCAACTGTACAGTTAAAACAGGTACATTTATTATATTTCAACGATTCCTTAGGAAAGAGAGTATTAGCTTTACTCAAGTGTTCGTTCTGGCTGATGGGAAAAGACACTGAGACACTAGAACAAATCAGTACTCAGAGATGATTCCTGACAGGGGACGAAACAGCACACACCCTTTTACAGCCCTGGTGCAGACTGGGGACTGTGCTCTGTGGGAAAGCCCGCCTCTGACCATGCGCCCTGCCGCCCCCATCTTCGCCCCCTTCCTCCATCACACATACCTTCCAATATCCTGCTGGCATCTTGCCAGCTGTGCCTTCAGCTTCATCTCCTCCTCCTGCAGTGACTGAACCTGAAGATCTTTGGAGATCATCTCCTTGGATAGCTGAGCAATCTGGGCATCCCAGCCAGATTTTAGAGCTGATGCATCTTCCCGAAGTCTAAACCAAGAAGGGTAGTGACGTGAATGTGGGCGTGGTTCTCACCCAAGCTCTTTTACAACACACACATACACACACGCACGCAGTCCTCAGAGGAAATGCTGCAGATCAAGGTCTCTTCTACATACATCAGGGCACAGACTTCTCTGCCTATATTAAGAAATGGTCCTACCCAAGAAGAAATATCCACCCACCCCTCCCACCGGCACAGGCACTGACTAACGCCTGTAGCACTCCAAGCCCACACCAAGTGTGTGGGGAAGCAGGGGCCAGGAGATGTCTCTTGGAGCCAGAGGTCCTGAGACAGCACCATCTGACACACCTGGGCACCCTTAGCCATGCCTAGCACAGTCACTCCACACAGAGACATTCAACAAGTAGCTCCAAATTGAATAGTAAGATAAGGTTGTACATTCATTGGTAGAATCTCAAAAGATTTGATAAATCTCCCAAGAAGCAAAATTTCAGAAAAACATCTAAAGATATTGACTAAAGTAGCCACAATATTAACCATACAAAGCTTGCATGGTAGTCACCCTATTTGCGTCTCCGGCCTGTTTCCCTCCTCAGCTGCATTCAGCATGCTGTGGGGTAAAATCTATGGTCATGCACTGGCCACTGTCCAGAGCCACATGCCCGTGGGTGGGCTACGGACTGCGGCACAGAGCTGGACAAGCCGTGGGAAGGCAGATGGCCGTCAGTCTACAAGGTCTTAGACCAAAGTCCTGACTGCAGTTGCCTTGAGACTTAGAAAAGCTCCATCCAAACAGGGGCAGAGACAGGAAGGAGAAAGGAGCAGCTGCCCTCATGGGAAACTTCTTTCAACATTTCAGCTTAAACAGGCCTCAACCTCGAGGCTGGCGTGTTGGTTAAAATGCCCTTGGCAAAGGGTCAGGCGACCCCACAGGAACGAGATGGCTCCGCTCTGCTCTTCCTACCCTGGCCCTGGGACCCCAGGCCTGTGAGCTCCTGCCTGAGGAGTCCTGTGCTCTCCACTCTCTCGGGCATCCCAGTGCCCTCGCGTGCCTGGCACAGACATGCGGTGGCTGGGTAGGGCTCTCTGCTCACAGGCAAAGCCCACTGCAGTGGGCAGAGGCTGGTTTGGGGGGTCCCACAACCTCAGTCCTGGTCAAGCCAGGATTATCATCACTCTGAGTAGCAGAGTTCTCTGTTCATAAAGGACTGCAGTGAAACTCATTTGGGAAAACCCTTTAAAGACCAAAGTGGGAATGAAGAAGGAGAATAGGTATGGGGAAATGTACAAAACCCCACAGCCCAGAGGAAAGCCATGCTGCTTGGTAAAGCATTAGGATTCTTCAGCTCTATTGCTAACTTAGGAAAAGGCACCCTCTTTGAACCTGCCTAGATATAGTATGTAATAAACGTGTCACATTCTCAAAGGATTCAGACCTTTCAAGTGTGAGATTTCCAGTGTTATTCTTAGTTATTGGAAAAAGTCATTTTTCTTAGTATGATTTAAACAAATTACTTCTAGTACATCCAGATTCATACTGACTTCTTACCTAAAATAAACCAGCTCATCCTAGTAACACAGGGGGCTGCAAAACGTTGGAAACTTGAAAACACGTCCAGCTCAGATAGAGTGCTGGTGTCAGAACAGGGGCTGCAGCTGTTCCTCTCTGGGCACACCCAGTACTCCTTCTGGGGCAGTGCCTGCTCTGGTCCCATGTAGTTGCTGGGGTGATAAAAGTAGCAGGTGGGGGCCCAGGTGAAGTGAAGAGAAAGTCACTCAGTCATGTCCAACTCTTTGCAACCCCATAACAGTCCATGGAATTCTCCAGCCCAGAATACTGGAGTGGGTATCCTATCCCTTTTCCATGGGATCTTCCCGATCCAGGAATTGAACTGGGGTCTCCGGCATTGCAGGTGGATTCTTTACTAACTGAGCTATCAAGGGGGCCCAAGAGCCTGTGACAAAGCTGCCCCCCACCCCATGAGCCAACCTAGAGCCAAGACCACACGAAGCAGTATGTATAGCAGGCAGGGTGCTCATGGAATCCGGGCTTCACCCTGGCTGTGTCCCACCAGACACTTAGCCCCGGAGCCTCGAGTGTCCAATGTCTGACATGACAGAGGGAAATGAAAGGTTCTTCTCTGTTCTGTGTGTCACTGAAAGATAAAAGGACATGAGATGCCTGGCCTGCCCTGGAATTCGAAAGCACTCCTTCCCCTCTACCTACTAACTGGCAACTCTGCTCCGAGGCCCAAGGAAAGGGAAGCAGCTCACAGCCCTGGGAAGTCGACTGCCTGGGCCCCATACATCAGGCAGGATGTCTGTTCTGAGCTTCCCATTACAGTCCCTGACCTGATCCTTCATGATTCTATATGTGTTGGGCTTCTGCAACTATAAGAGAAGTTGCTGGAGCTTGAGAACCATATTTTTATTTCTCCTTAATTTCTAGTGAATTCTCACAAGAAGATTTGCATACAGCAGGGGCTTTGTATGTGGCCATGAATGGGATCCTGGTTCCCGCTCCACTTTGCCAAGACCAAGACAGCACAAGCCAGCCTGTGTTCTGGAGAACAGAGAACTTGCCCTCGTCGAGTCCTGGCCTCCATCCAGCATTTGGACCAGCGCTGCCCAGCACTGAGCCAAGGGCCATTCAGGGCGCCCAGGCACGTGGCCAGTCTGAATTGAGTTGCGATGTGCCTTTAAAATTTAACATCAAAAAATGCGAAATACCTCAATAACAATTTGCTCAGGCAAGTTTAGGCATCCATCTTCATTAATATTTTTACTTATTTTTTTCTCAAACTTTAAACTTTTTTTTGTATTGCGGTATAGCTGATGAACCAATTACTTTCCCATGTGGCAGCAGTGGTAAAGAACCGGCCTACCAATGCAGGAGATGTGGGTTCAGTCCCTGGGTCTGGAAGATTCCCTGGAGGTGGGCACGGCAACCCAGTCCAGTATTCTTGACTGGAGAATCCCATGAAGAGAGGAGCTGGCAGGCTACCGTCCATAGTGTCGCGGAGGCGGATGCGAATGAAGTGACTTGAGCACACAAGCACACGATGAGATGGTATGTTGGACATACTGGGTTAAAAAATGGGATTGAAGTTAATTTCATCTACTTCTTTTTGCATCTGAGCTGTGAATATTAGGAGGTTAAAGTGCACTCTGGCCCTACCATATTCCTTTTGATAGTTATATGTCTGCATGGTTACATGCAGATAAGGTTCTCACAATACTGTCTCAGCTCATGGTTTCTCTACCCCGCTATCCACAAACTAATGGTCACAAGAAAACCAGCACAAATAGGCCCAAAGAGACAACAAAATCATAATGTGGGCCATTTTGTTGCTGACTTGTAAAGAGTATGTCTTGGGAGGAAAAGACGCTGATACAGGACACTAAGGCTTCTCCTGGGAACCCACTGATGCTGCTTGTCACAGCCTCTTGACTGTCCAGTGGGGAAGCAGGAAGGAACATGACGGTGAACCCACCAAGAGGAGAGAGCAGAGGCAGGAGGCCTCCCCACAGGAAGGCCTGTGCACCCGGACCCTGGGCTCTGAGTCACCATCTGTGAGAAGGGCCCCGGGAGAGCCTATCCGAACCAAACAAAGAGTGGACTGGGAGACACACACCCTTGAGATTGAGCCGCCTCACCCCTCCAGCTATTGCTGGCTAGGTTTAACAGATCAAACAATAAAATGCGTGACTCTAAGGAAGCTATCCTGAATAAGCTTTGACTTCCTGGTATTTTATAGTTTAAGAGCCATTTTCCCCTTCAGCAGAAATATAACTTGGCAGAGAATTCTCTGTGAGAAAGAGAGAGAGAAATATTTCCCAAACAAAGGGAAAAGCCAGTTGCTAAACAGCAGGCATCGCAAATGACTTATTTATCTTAATCATTTTCTGTAAACACAGCTTCTCTGAAGATCACTTCCTTATTGGTTGCCAAGAGGCTGAGTTCAGTTACTGCTTCAGTTACAATGCTCCTTCACAGACACCAAGCAGAGTGGGATAGAGTGGTTGTGTATGGCCTGGCTGAGATGTCAGAAAGAAAACTGGGTTTGAAAAGAAGTTCGTTTGGAATTCCCCGGCAGTCTGGTGGTTAGGACTCTGTGTTTTCACTGCCAAGGGCTTGGGTTCAATCTCTGCTTGGGGAACTAAGATCCTGCAAGTCATATGGCATGGCCAAAAAAATAAGTAGTTTAAATAAAAATTTTTTAAATTTTATTTTTGGTTGTGCTGGGTCTTCATTGCTGTGTTCGGGTTGCCTCCAGTTGGGGAGGGCAGAGGCTACTCTCCAGTTGTGGTGTACAGGCTTCTTATTGCGGTGGCTTCTCTTGCTGTGGAGCATGGTCTCTAGGTGCACGGGTTTCAGCAGTTGCAGCAGGCAGGCTCAGTAGTTGTGGTTTGAAGGTTCTAGAGCAAGGGCTCAGTAGTTGTGGCGTGGGGGCTTAGTTGCTCATCGGCATGTGGAATCTCCCCGGACCAGGTATCAGACCCAAGTCCTCAGTACTGGCAGGTGGATTCTTACCCACTGTACCACCAGGGAAGTCCAAAAAGAATTTTTAATTAAAAAAAAACAAACCGATAAGAAGAAACTAGCTTATGGAGAAACTGGAACCCTTGTGAAAAATGGTGCAATCACTGTGGAACACAGTTCCTCAAAAAGTTATATCTAGCACCTCCACTTCCGGGTACACACCCAAAAGAACTGAAAAGAGACCTGAGCAGATATTTGCTCACCCACAGTCACAGAAGCACTAGTCATAACAGCGAGAAGGTGGAAACACTCAAAATCGCCATCAACGGATGAACTGATAAACAAAAGGTAGCTGTATACAAGCAATGTGAAATTACTCAGCCTTAAAGAGGAGGAACATTCTGATGTGTGCTACAACAACATGGATGAACCTTGAAACCATCACGCTGAGTGGAATAAGTCAGTCAGAGAAGGACAGACACTGAGGGATTCCACTCGTGTGAGGCCCTTAGGGCAGTCAGATTCACAGAGATGGGTGGTGGGATGGTGGGTGCCAGGGGCTGGGAGAGGGGGATAGGGAATCATTATTGAAGAGGCACAGTTTTAGTTTTACAAAGAAAAGGGTTGGTTGCTCAACAGCGTGAATGTGCTTAATGCTGCTGAACTTAAAAATGGCCAAGATGGTAAATTTCTTGCTATGTGTGTTTTATCATAAACAAATAAATGCGCACATTCATACATATGTCCACACACACTTTCAAATGAAACAAAAGGAAAGAGAATGGTTAAGAAAAGTGACGGGAGAGCTGCAGAAATGACTCCCAACACCCAGTGCCCACTTCCCTTCATCTGAAACAGGTAACTAGGCAGCCAGGCCCTTGGCCCGGGCTCACTTGTCAATGGTGGCGTCCTTCTCCTTGGTGGCATCCACCTGCTTCCACTCGGCCCTGCGGAGCTGTACTTCGAGGTTCTCACATCGTGCCTGCAGCTCCAGGGCCCTGGCGTCTGCTGCCTGTAGCTGCTCCATGTGGGCGCTCTTTGCTGCCATCAGCACAGCGTCCCTTTCCCTGGCGAGATGGTCCAGCTCCTCATGCCTGAAACACAGGAAGGTCCCCAACAGCTCACATGGACCCCGTTCTGGACCCCCTAGCCCAGAATCTCCCTCATCCTGCCGGAGGGCTACATACATGTCCTTCTGGAGGGCACTTTTGCCTGCTTCTCTCTGCTCCTCACTCCTCATGAGGAACCACTGACTAAGAGATTTTCAGACACTGGCCCCCTTCCCTCCCAAGCTCACAGTCCTTGGGAAAAAGAGACTCAAGCAGATATTTGTGTCTTGGGAAAAAGAACCCAGAACAGGTGTTTCAGCAAAGCACCACCAGCAGAAGCCCCACTGACTAGGGAAGAAGTATGCAGGTGCAAACTGCCCTCCCTTCACAGCTACACCAACTGCTGAGCTGCTTACAACCCAGAATCGGAGACCTCCAAGAACTGGGGGCCTTGGGAGGCAGGCTGCATGTCCGTCTTGGTCAGAGATGCCAAACCTATCGAAACTCTGTCAATGGAACAGATATTCGTCTTGAAAATACACTGGGAATTGCTGACATGCAACACTATGCCGACATGATACCTATGACTTTTTATGCTTTTATTCTATTTGGCTTCAGTGAAAAGTAAAAAGCCCTAAGAAATATAATTCTATAGCATTCTCTTCAGATTTCATCAGCATTGTTCAGTGAGATGGTTAAGCCTTATTTAATCAAGTCACGTGATGTACTTTTCATTCCAATTATGATCAGTCCTCACCTTACTCATCTTGCAAACTGTTCAGTATTTTCCACCTTCTAGTAGCAAAAAAATATACACATAGCAGTTGCTGTACCTGTTAGTTTCTGATAAGATATACCTTTCTTTTTCACCAAATCACAAGAAGTGTTTGATCATGACAACTAGTGAAGGGAAGGAGTTATCTCTGAATGCATCATCCTGTGATCATTAGTTATTTTCGAGAGGCAAACACCAAGATTCCAGGGCACAAACACCACTGCCCACACCAGGGAACACAGGTTCCCTGTCACCTTGGCTAAATAAATAACACCATCTGGGCTGCACATGACTCTGCAGAACCATGCAGTGTGATGACAGAGAACATCTGTGTGCACCCCACTCCTGTGACTTGTGTCAATGGGTCAAGTATATTAGCCCTAAGGTGTCAACCTGGACGGCTTTCAGCAAGTTATTTCACCATGCGTGTCCTGTAATTCTCAGTGTTTTGATGATATTCCTCCAAACACACACAAATATGCTCATTAGAACTGAAAAGTGAGGGGCTATCCTGGAAGAGCAGGCCTGACCCTGCTGACGTTCCACAGAAGAGGCTTTGCCTCCAAGGTGGTGGGGGAACATTATCCCTACACTGACACTGGAGGCAGAAAACACTCACTTCCTCCGAAATGTCTCCTCTTCTTTTTTCCTGGTGAGCTGCATAGAGTGAAGTTTACCCTCTAAGTCTTTTATCCTGAAAAGCAGCAAATGTTAGTGGAAAAAGCACATAAGAGGCTACTGCAAAGCCAACCTGGAATAACCGGGGAAAGGCAGATGCCTCAGGGCTAGAGCCCAGACCACCCGTCGGCCACGTCCACCCACAGGGAGGCGGGGAGGCTCCGCACCGGGCATCCTTCACGGCCACCAGGTCTCGGAGCTCCCAGTCTCTTCGCTGCAGCCTGTCTTCCAGCTCCGCATTCGCCACCTCGGCGCCCTGCAGGGACTCGGCAGCCTTCGCCCCAGCCTCTCTCAGGGCCGCAAGCTCTTTGTTCAGCAGTTTAATCTTCGAGAAGAGGATTCAAAATGAGGATGTAAGTGGAACAGAGGTGTTAAGAGTTAAGTGTTACCATCTTATCAGAACAGACAGAGAAGAAAGACAGGAATTTGAGAAGCAACAAAACAGTGAGAATCTCCTCACACGCTCTCACAGCCTCGACAGCAGACCCCCGTGTGAATCCAAGTCGTACCCCAGCAACCCAACTAGGCCATGATCTGGATACTGGAATCACAGAGGCAGGTGGAGGTTGTAAGAACGTGGGTCCCTGCTGAGTTATCCCACTCAAATCCCAGCCACATGCTCAATTGTTAAATAGCTTCTCTGGGGCCTTGGCTTCTTTGACTATAACATAGAGGTGATGGTACTGCTGTTCCCAAATTTGTGTATAAGCTGTGTACAAGCTGTGATGCCCACCAGGGACAGGTGTTCAGGGGACCAGAACTGTCTCACGGCAGCTAGAGGTGAGAGTGGAGCATGTCCTGGCCCACTTTTCCCCACTCTTCTCCACAGGAGTACCCACTACTCCACTGTGAAGCATACGTTAGCCCCACACGTCCTGCTTGTCTTCTGTCCCCTGGTGCTCAGAAGTCCCCAAAGAGGCCTCATGGAGGTCACCTTGTGGCAGCCTCAAAGTCCTGCTGTTCCTGGGTGACAGGGACAGCATTCTTTCAGAGGGAAGTCAGAGAAAGCACTACCCCTTGGACTGTAGCCCTGTGGAGGCTGGCAGCCTGGAGGAGGCACCTTGATGATCACTAGGGCAAGCACCCATCCACCTGGCTGGACGCTGCCCAGGTGTGACGAGCTGGGGTGGCAGGACTGGGCCAGACGTCAGCCCTGCTCCTCTGTCCCTCGCACACCTCCTCCTCCCCTCCCGGCGGGTCTTGGTGCTAAAGGCCAGGTGTGTGTGCTCCTCACATGTGCCCTGGCCGGGTCAGTGCTTTAGAGAAGCCATGCTCGTGGACGGCAGCCAGCACCACAGCTGGGAGCACCAACAGCAGACAGGCCTCCTTCTGAAAACAGGAGGCGAGTGACCCCTCCTCACAGGCTCCTTCCGAGGTGTCACTGGATTACAGGCCAAGGACAGGGTTTGCAGGATGGCGATTTCCCCTGGGGGAGGCCCTTCCTCAAAGTCAGAGTAACCAGACTCAGACTGGTGGCACCAGTGGTCCTCCTGCTGGGCAGAGTGGCCATCACTCCTGACTAGGGCCCTGGTGGGCATGGTGGCAAGCATGTCACCTGCATGGTAGAGACCCCAGCCCACGTACAAAGGGGGAGGCCTTGGTGTGAACCCTAACTCGCCAGGGGCTTCTCATTATGCTGAGGAAACAGTCACAGTCCGAGGGTGCCTGCTACCTTGAGTTCGTGTGCCAGGACAACACTGCTCATGTTGTCAGCCCGCAGGCGGAACTCATGCTCCCGCTTCTGCATTTCAGACTCAAACTCCTGGAGCAGCTCCTGAAACAGAAAAGGGCTGATGGTGAAAGGAGCACAGCGGGGCTGGCAGAGGCCCACAGGTTCGCTGAGGGTGGGAGGGCTGCAGAGGGCCTCATTGAAGATGTGGTCAACAGTGGGACTGGGACCTGTAATACCCGATGAAGGGCATCGGACAGCCTGAGTTTTCACCCCGGGCGTGGGTTTGTCTGTTTTCTCCGTGATCCTGTGGGGTTTTGCTCTGCCCAGATAGAGCAGCTAGCAAACCCAAAGGAAAGGTTAGCAGAGGCCCATGAACCCAGAACCATCCCACCTAGCAGTTAAGCTGTTGGTTCCGTCTATATCTGCAAAAAAATGCCATTCTTCCCCATCAGTTCTCCATGCTACCTGCCGGGTTCCTGAGCAGCCCCACCTCACTCCCCAACCCAGGGTCATGGCTCCACCCCCCGGCTCTGTGAATGCCTCACTCATGGGCTGAATCCAAAAGTCCCTAAATTATTATACTAGTGATTCACTGAACACCCAACAGTGAACAATTATGACGGTTCCCACCTCATTGTTTTTCTGAGTTTTCAATTCCCCTCCCCCACCACTTCTCTGGTTCTCTCTTGTTTCCTGAGTGGTGTCTGCTTCCCAGGACACACCCCACGGTATGATTCTTTCCCCTCCTGGGGTTCCTCTCCCTGGGCTGCCCCATAGCTGGTATCCAGGCCTGCCCTTCACAGCTCCCCAGGCGGTCCCCAGGATCCCTCGATGCCCTCTCCCCCTCTCTCTGTGTACTCTTGCCCACCCTGCTGCCCCACACCTGAACTGATCACACAATGGTGGGTTTTAGGATAACAGAAACTTCACAAGGATATATGAATGGCCAATAAGCACGTTAATAGATACTTAAACTCTGATCATCAAGGATAATCGCATTTAATCCCCAGCTACACACCCACTAGACTACTAAAAAGGAAAAGACTAACAACATTAAGTGCGAGCAAGGATGGGAAGTGACTAGAACTCTAATCTGCAGCTGGTGGGATGTGACCCTATAGCCATCCTAAAGGACACCTCAGCAGTTTCTCAAAAAGTTAGACAGAGCCATAGTACATGTCCCAGAAATCGCACTCCTGGTCGTGGAGCCTGTGTCCATTCAAAGACAGCCAAGAATGCTCACAGCAGCCTTATTCAAACTGGCCCCAAACTGGAAAAGACCCAAGTGTCCGAAGTGTGAGCTGACAGAGAACGCAAACATACTGGCACCTCCATGCAACACACAGCACCAGCAGGCACTGAGAAGGAACAAGCTGCCAACCGCATGACATCCATGCACCTCAGACACGTCATGGCGAGAGAGAAGCCAGACTAAAAGGGGCGACAGCTCGAGGCTCTGTTCTCACAGGCCTCTCTAAAAAGCCAGTTCTCACTGCAAGTGGAAGGCAGCAAGCTGGTGGGGCCAGGGCCGGGGGCGCTGCTCCCTGACCACAAAGAGGCACGCAGAACTTCGGGTGGCAGTGAAGTTCTGTCTTGGCTGTTACCGGGAAAATGCCTGCGTTAAACCTGTGGAACTGCACATAGTATGGCTGCAAGGACTGTAGAAAATGACAGCTTAATGAGGCTGAATCTTGGCACGGCTGACTGAGGATGCTGTCTCCCTAAGGTTAGATCTATGCAGCAGGCACCTGGGTCCACACAGCTGCCCTCCTTCTCCCCATGAGTGATTCAATTTGCTTCAAGAAATTTGTGCTGAGCTTCTGCCTAGGGAAGGGCACTTCTCCGGCTGCTGAGCACTCTATCTGCATGTGAGCAGGGGTTCGTGGGCCCCAAATACAAATTTCCACCTGCACATGCACATCCCTCAACATCCTGAGGCCTAAGATCTCTGAGTCTGTACATCCACGGGATGCGTCTCCCACAGGTCTCCTCTCCCTGCTGCCCCCCCCGGGGAAGGCGCAGGCTCGTCTAAGCGCTGAGGCCCTTCTCCTGCTCCTGCCACTGCTATGGGTTCTCACTGTCCTTAGTCCTTTACAGTCCTGTCTCCAGCAGTGTCAGGAGAGCAGATACGCATGGCCTGATGTAGCCTTTGAATAGGAGGTCTGGATATAGATGCAGAAATCACAGCGAGGGACAAAGTCAAACTGAAATGCGTGTCCTGGAGTTAGTCTGACTCTAACCATCTCTCCTGCCCTAAAACCTCATAGTGACTTTACCTGACACTTGTCATCAGGGTGAGCACAGGTTAACACGGATGGGCAGACAGGAGGCCCAGCCCATGGAGGAGCTGTGAGGACAGGTTGAGCCCACCCAGCACAGCACGTGGAAAGCGCAGTGTGTGAGCATGGCACACTAGCCTGATTCCAGGTTTCTGACCAAGTAATGAGGCCCCTGCTTTTGAAGAGAGCTGGCAGACCCAGTTACCAGAAGGAAAGGGTCAAGGGAGGCTGAGCCCAGCCAGAGCATCCAGGCAAGAACGGGTGCATCTCTGCCTCCTCCCTGAGATAAATGCATGGCAAGCTCCCTCCCCTCCTTTGAAAGTTGAGGCTGGGGGCCTCAGAGACACTGCATGGTACAATTGAAAATATACATTTTTTAAAATCCCTTGAGAAGCAAGATGAAGTTTAAGGGGGTCACACGAGAAATCCTTGCTGGGATCAGAATATGAAAACCACTGAGACTGACTGCTCAGTTCAGTTCAGTAGCTCAGTGGTGTCTGACTTTTTGCGACCATATGGACTGCAGCACACCAGGCCTCCCTATCCACCACCAACTCCCAAAGCTTGCTTAAAGTCATGTCCATCAAGTCGGTGATGCCATCCAACCACCTCATCCTCTGTTGTCCCCTTCTCCTCCTGCCTTCAATCTTTCCCAGCATCAGGGTCTTTTCAAATGAGTCAGTTCTTCACCTCAGGTGGCCACAGTATTGGAGTTTCAGCTTCAGCATCAGTCCTTCCAATGAATATTCAGGACTGATTTCCTTTAGGATGGACTGGTTGGATCTTCTTGCAGTCCAAGGGACTTTCAAGAGTCTTCTCCAACACCACAGTTCAAAAGTGTCAATTCTTCAGTGCTCAGCCTTCTTTATGGTCCAACCTTCATGTCCCTTCAGTCCTGAATATTCATGGGAAGCACTGATGCTGAAGCTGAAGCTCCAATACTTTGGCCACCTGATG